AGACTCCATCATGAAGAAGAAGAAGAAGATTCAAACTTACCCAACAAATATTTTCAGAAAGTTGAAGAAATTACAGAGGGTTTGTGATGATGATGATGAAGAAGAAGAAGAAAAAGATTTACGTTTTCGATCTTATTTTTCAAAAACTGAATCAGAATCCACAAAAACCAACCAAAGATTCAGTGGTAGTCAAGGATCTCAAGCAAAATGTAACAACAAAATGAAAAGTTTCGAGATTTGGATGATCGATCGTACCATAACTCTTATGGTTCTGAATTATATCCATGGAACCTTAAAACACATCACAGAAAATTATGCCAGCATCAGGAAGAGTTCAGTGGGAAGATGAGTATCGAAATCACGGCCGTAAGGGAGAACGGTTGGCCCGAGCAAAGGTGCCAAGATAGTTGTTGTTGCCACAGTCGAAGATTGAGTCGACGATAATGAAGAGTGCAAGGACAAGAGGGGAAGAAGAAACTAGTGGGCTTGCTGGGGATAACAATGGGGATGGAGAAGAAGGTGGCGTTGAAGGGCTATCGAAAATGAAGATTTGATTTGAGGAAAGATTGTAGAGTTCTTGAGGGAATCGAAGAGCTTAGGACTGTGAAACAATGGTGGAAATGACGAGAAAGATGGCAAGAAGGTGAGTGGTCACCATTTCTTTAGTTGTTTGTATCCTTCGATGGATTGAAGAAGAAGGTTGCTTTGGAATTTGGCGGACAAGGGGAAGTTGGTTGAATATGTGGAAAATAGAGTATTTTTCTTTCTAAACACTAGGTTTTTTTATTGCATAACCTATTATTTTCAGAACGAGCAAGAAGAAGAAGAAGTAACGAGGGTTGTTTTGAATATATGTTTTTTTTTAAATTTTTTAATTTTTTAATTGCCAACACATACTTCCGTTGATGGAAATTAACGGTAGATGGACTTAAATCGACGGATCGATAACGTAAGGGACCAAATGCACTTACTTAAAAAATTGATGATCAAAATCAATCAGACTAAAAATAAAAGGGATTATTGGCATAATTTAGTTTTATAATTAATACGTGTATATAAGTAGAACATATAAGTATAATATACAAATAAATAGTTTGGTACACGAACTAAATTATTTAAGTGGTTAAAAAAAATTACTGTTGTTCCTAAAGGTCATGGGTTCGAGCACCAATTATTGCAGCAGGGTGATTGAGTGTTTAATGTCAAATGAATAAAGAGTGTTTTAAATAGATACTACTATGGCGTGTTTGATTCACGTTATATTAGATTACCAGGGAAATGACCTATTTGGTTGGCCAGTAATCATATTCTCCGGTAATCTTTTATTCCCAACAGTAGTATTTTTTGGATATATTACCGGGAATGTGATTATCCATTCCCTTAGGTATTGTTGGATTACCGACATTTTGACCTTAATTTTTTTTTAAAAAAATATCATTATTCGGTTGTTGAATAAAAAAAATTATACGAATATTAAATTACAAATTTATCCTTAAACTATTTTATATTTACAAAAAAAAAAAATTCATAATTAGAATTTTATATGAAGTTCAGGGGTTAAAATAAAATTTTACCATTTCATTAAACCTATTTATCTTTTTAATTTTGTAAAAAAAATTATATAAATTTTATGAATTTAAAATTTTTAAATAAAATATATAAATTAATTATAGTAGAATTCAACTTGTTCAAAAAACAAATATATAATAAGGACAATTTGATAAAATATACATTTCAATAATCTTTTATTACTCTAATTAAACACTGTAATTTTACATTCCTGCTAAACGAACCAAACACAAAATACAACATTCCCAGTAATCTTATTCATGCCGGTAATCTTATTCGTACAGGTAATATTACATTCTGTGAACCAAACGCACCCTAGGATCAATAGTGTCTTGGCCCCTCTAAAATGATATAATTTTTATTCAATCCTTAAAAGTGTAAAATTATAATTCAATCCAATTATAAAATTTGTATTACGATTTCAAGAAAACAAATAATTCAATTTTAATACCCAACACAATTTCTGCATTCACTCTCATTTAGGATCCCAAAACCTCAATCTTAGTGTCAATGAATACTTCATTAATAGTTTCCGGGTAAAGTACACTAGAGGTCACTTAACTATACTCAAATGATAGTTTCGATCACTAAATCTTCAAAAATTACATAATGATCATTAGATTTATCAAACGATTACAAAATGTATCACACTTAGATTTCGTCTTAAAAATTCTTTAATATAACCATAAAGTATGGTACGGGGTAAATTAATGTGTCCATATCACATCAAGATTGTAATTTTTATTGTCTCTTTTCAAGAAGCACATACCTTATATACATACAAAAATAAAATAAAATTGTGGTGTTCACATCAATACAATATAAATACATGCTTCCAATAAGAAAGAGAGACAAGAAAATTGTTCCTTCATCCCTTTTCGTAATCTCAATTTTGGTTCCCCTTCTTCCATACTTATGGTTTGGGAGACAAAATTTGAGAATATAGTGTATAATGGTAGCTACCTTTCATGAAGCACAAATTCATTTATATTCTTAGATAAAAATATATATTTATATCCTTTTATATCTGACACAAGCAGTGGCGGATCTAAAAATATTTTTCAGGGTGGACAAACGTATCTTAACAACATAAAATTTTTAAATGGGATAGGTACAAATAAAATTTCAGTGTGGGCATCGTACGTAAAATAAGTAACTAATCGAAGAAAACTCAGATTTCTAGATAAATACCATCAATAAAATAAGTGACTAATAGAAGAAAATTTGAATTTCTGATGAGCAATTGCCCACTCTCACCAAACTAGGGCTAACACAAGTTGAAAATAAAAATAATAATAATAATAAATTCTTAGCTTACTTGAATTATTAATTTTACTCCGTTTTAATATTTAAACTTTTAATTTTTTCAAAACCATACCTAACGTTTAGTTTTTATTTCATTTTAGTACCCGTCGTTAAAACTTAACGTGTTTAGTACCTAAACTATCAATTTTGGTCCTTTCAGTACCTAAACTTTTATTTTTTTTTTCAAAACTCAATGTCAAATTTTGAACAATGGTGCTAAAATGAAACAAAAAATAAATTTTAGGTATGATTGTCAAAAGAAAAGGTATTAAAATGAACCAAAACCAATAATCTATATATTAAACACTTAATTTATCCTAATAATTATTTGATCCGTTAAATCAAGTTTTACTATTTGTCAAGAGTTGTATATTAAAAATTATATAAATTATGTGCGGAATTGAAATTTTCAAAAAATAAATGTTCCATCAATTGTAAATAAACATTCGATCAAATTGAATTAAATTAAATAAAAAATAAATTATTCAAGTTAACGAGTTATATTTACCGTAAAAACTATCACTAAGGAATATGCTGAGATTTCAAAGCTACCAAGATGTAACAGAAAAAGAAAAGCACAAGCGAGTTTTATGAATAGAGTTATAATACTGTAATTAGATGGGGATCACAATTTGATCAAGTTGACTTTACCCTTGTCATGTTGAAATTATTTCTGAGCCGTCCGATGAGTGGGTCCCCACAAGATGCACGTGTGCCAACCCATTTTTCCTTGGCTGCATATGAGAGCTGGCCATTGGGTTACAGGCCATCACATGTGACTTTGATGTTACATTGAATTGATGCAATTTTCCTAAGAAAAAATATATTTCGTTATAAAACAAAATTAAATTTAATATAATAAACAGAGAGGAAATTGATATCAACATTTCAAAATTTTTTTTTTATTAATAATAAAATAAAATATAATCATTAAATTATAAGTTATAAATTTAAATATTAGAAGTTTAGGATTTAAATTTAAAATTAATAGAATTTGTTGAGTGATATTAATAATAAAAAAGAAATGCTATTATTAGTAGAGGATTTGAATTTAAACATCTTAATCTGTACGGTGTTGTAAATGATTAAGAAAGACTGAACAAATGATATCTTATAATCATTCTGATTATTTTTTTAAAAATAATTTCAAACCTAATAAATACTTAAAAAGTATTAAGATACGAATAAAAGTTAAATTTAATTTATCTAGTTTTAAATTAATAAAAGCTTAATAAATATTTAAACTAAAAACATGCAAAGCGTTAAGTCTTAATATTTTTTTAAACTAAGGGACCTAAAAATAATTAGATTTAATATAATTAAAAGGACGATTGTTATTCTTTATATTTTTGAGTTAGAAAACGATTTCTATAGTACATTTTTAACGCCATCATTTTTATTGCCGTTAATTAAAATGGGAGATAGAATAAAGTTCAGTGAACAAAAAAACTCAATGTATTAAATTTAGTGAGGAAATTGAAAACTTTTAAAGTTCTGCGAGCAAAATACGAGAGAGTAAAGTTTAATGATGAAATTTGTAATTTACCCTTTGTAAATTTTCTCTGGAGAATTGGGTCGTGGAGAACGTAACGTCACTGCCGCTGTTTTGTCGTTGTAATCTCTCGTGGACATGTTTGCGAAATTCCAAATATTGAATTTCAAATTCAACTCTTTTTTATATGTACATTTCTCTATTTTCCTTTAATTTATTTTTTCTAAATACATTTGAAATTTTAAAATAAAAATTATTTATTAAAAGTTTCTAATGAAAAGCTTTAAAAATATAAGTATATACCTTTTTTTTTGGTGATATTTACTTCTAAAAATTGCTTTATTAATTTTTTCATAAAGTTATCTCTGATGACAGTTTCAATGTTTTAAGACCGAGTCTTTTATTTCATATTTTTATTTTTTTGTTAAGTAAAAGTTTTTCTGTTTTATTTTTCTAATTTTCCACACACTATTTTAACGTTTTTCTTTCATTTTTGTCTATGTCTATTTGTTTAATTTTGTGTATATATGTTGTCTTTCTGAAAATTCCAGCAACAAGTGAACAAAACCTCGTTTTCTTGTCTGAAAAGATTCCGAATTTCCTTTCTGCATCGTTCTTATTTTATTTGGCATGAAACAGTGAACTGCCCCTCATGGACACTGTCCTTCCTACATATAGTAAACGGAAATCTCTATTTAAAATATGAGTTTAAATTAATTAATTTAAAAAAAATTAATAACATAAATAAATTATAAAATGAAATGTAGCCCTGACCCTGAAATTTAAATTGTCATTTCCCATAGTGTCGGTGCTCACTACCATACAAGTTTAAACATACATCCTCCATGAAAGTTCACATCAGAATCTCTAACAAAAATAAAAATTTCAACCCCCCAAAAAGTACTACATTATTTATCTAATATATAGTAATGTGATTTATAATTCGAATTCGAAATCTTATGTTCGAATTATGTTGCTCGTCTCGTCGCCTTTAGAAACTTGTACGGTTGCTTTGTCGTCCGCCCTTCGAGATGAATCGGTACTGGCTGTTTCCGGCAAAGGCGGGCGGTTTTCCGGCTATTTGGAGGGAGACGTGAGTGTTCCTTGGTTGTACAAGGTGCTTAACTGGTGAAAATAAGGGCATGTCCTAGAGTCAAGTGATCTCTTCTTGTTGACGTCTTTGGTTTTCCTGAAGTACTTGTTAACGTTCTCCCATTTCTCCTTGCACCTCTTTGCACTTCTCTTGTAACCCAAATCCAACATCCCTTGTGAGATTCTTTCCCATAGGGGAGCTTTAATGGCGGCTCCTTCCTTGTCGTGGTGGTTGCCGTTGTTGTAAAGACTGCACCTCAGGTTTATCAGTGCCGACACCTCGTCTCTCGGCCACCGCTTTCCGAGGTCTTCTTTGTCATTGGATGTAGGGTTTTGAGGAGCTTTGGTTACCTTCAATGGTGTCAATGGTGAATTAGGGTTCTGGGGAGTGGGTGTTTTTGGATTAGCGTTTTGATTGTTTTGACTTTCAGAAGTAGTGATGGAAATTTGATCAACTTTGTTATTGTCATTGGAAATAGGATTAGGGTTTTCTGCAACTGGCAATGAAGAAGATGAAGCAGCAAGAGGAAGGTTTGAGCATTCATTTTGTGAGAATTTGGTCAATAATTTGATAATGGTGGCCTGTCTATCACCAGCAATGGCTTGTTCTTTTGCTCTAAGCTCGAGCTCCTGGTTAATCATATCAAGCTCTTGCTTGTTCCAAGCTTCTTCTCTTGCAACTTTCTCTTTATCTCTCTTCACCATGTCTTCAAGCAGCTTGTTGTACATCTCTTCCTGTTGGATCATCAACTTATTCACAATTTCCTCACAGAATCCCTTGAAAATCTCAAGTTTCTTCACTCTCTTCCTCTTCTTCTTGTTGTTGCTGTTCTTCTCGTTATCATCTTCATTTCCAGCTTTGTTGTCAACCACATTCTTGCTATCCGGATCTGATGATGTTGCAGCATTGTTGTTTGCTGGTGAGGTTTGGTATAATTCATCAAAATTTCTTGAATCACCTTCCAAATTCTGACCTATATTGTCTTCTTCTTCCGCATTTTTGTTGTTTTCGTCAGCCGCCACAACCGCCTTCTGGTGGTTGTGGTGGTGCTGCTGAGGTGGAGGGTTCTCAGCTTGACAAAGTTCATCAAGTTCAGTAAAGATCCTGTAGTTTTTGCTGCAATTCATGGTGTTGAAATATCTGTTTACTTCTTCAAATTTCTCTTTGCATTTCTCTGCACTCCTTTTGAGCCCAAGCTCTGCCAACTTCCTGCACCCACCATAATTGTGTGTATGTATATATATGTATATATCAAACACTTATTCTTTCAATTTGACCATCCATTATTCACTTGTAAAAATGCTATACCTAGCCCTCTTTGTTTATTTAATTACAATACAAGTACCCTTCTTTCTCTTTTATTAGCAACAACTCCATAAATATCCATTGTTCCATTGATCAGAATTTAGAAAATAGGATCAAGAAGTGAATGAAGTGAACATGTATGAATGTATGTACCTTGAGACATGTTCCCAAGTGAATTCTGGGAACCAAGGTTCCATGCTAGATCTGACCCTCAACAGTGCAAGGACTTCATCGTTGGACCAAGGTTGATGTTGATAATGATGTTGTTCTTGTTGACGATGATGATGGTCAATTTGTTCAGCCATGGATCTCTGATCTCTTTCATTAATCTCCATGTTCATAGCTACTAAGCTGGTGTTGTCATCTTCATTATTCTTCTGCTGGTGCAATGACTGCAACAACTGAGGAGGCTGATGATGATGGGAGTTTGAAGAAGAAGTGAACAAAGGGTCAAAAGAAGTGAAAGAAAGGGGGAGAAGGAGAGTGGCGGTGACGGTGGCGGCGGTTCTCGCGGTTGTTCGTGAGGCGCCGCCGCCTATGAATTGGTGGAACTGGTCCGGCACCGGCACTCCATCAAACATCTTGGAATTTCTAAGGTGTGAAGTTGGTTGGAGCAGAAAGAAACCCAGATTACAGTGAAGAAATCACCATTGCTGCCATTTTTTTTTGTATATCTCAATCTCTAATATGATTCTTCTTATTCTTTTTCTCTCTCTCATTTATCAAGGATTTTGTCCTGTCGTGGGAAGGGAAAAGATAGCTCACCATACCCCTTTTGGTGGCAAGTGAAGTCACCGTCCAATGAGACCCAAACTCATTAATGTTCAATTAAGGTTAAGTTCTTGCTGCTTTTTTTTATTAACTTTTAGTTGAATGACTACCATTTCACCAAATTCATGCACCGCCATTTTTTTATTGGTAAGTGATAAATATAAGACAATATTTATTTAAAAATAATATTCAATTATATAACATTACATGTTCATATTTCAAACCTTTTTAATGCTAAAATAACTTTAAAAAATAACAATAATTTCTTTATTATTGAGGTCGATTAGTTCGTGCATGTAGACCTGACAATTTTTTTTAACCAGAACCCCGATTACCCAAACCGAGACCCAAAATATTACCGAACATGATGACCCAAATTTGACCTGAAACCTGAAAAACCGAATCGAACTGAAACAGATTCGAATTTAGCCAAACCGAAAGTAACCCGAATTGAGTAACTCGAACCGAACCGAATTAAAACCAAATCGAAAGCAACCCGAACTGAAATTAACCAGAATTTAATTTACCAAAACCTGATCTTTTTTTACAAAAATATATCAATAATTCTATATATATAATTAATTTGACTTATACCCAACTCAAACCTGAATTGACATGAAGTTCTAAAGTTGACCCAAATCGAAAATAATTGATCGAATATTGACCTGACCCGAAAATCAACCGATCCGATTTAATTCGACTCGAAATCAACCGATCCGATATTGATTCAACCCGATACCCGAACGACCTGACTTACTATAGACCCAAATAAAATCGAAACCCAAAATGACTCCCAACCCGGATCCGTCTTGACTTACTATAGACTTGAATAAAATCAAAACTTGAAATGACCCGATCAGACTCAAATCAGACTCGAATTAAGTCTAAACCAAAATGATCCGAACTAAAAACAAAACCCGATCCTAATGATCGTTTTCCACCTCTACGTGCACGCACCACCATTATTTAAATGAACTGCATAGTGAATTCACTGATAAGATATATTATATAAAAGAATTTTAAGAAAAGAATAATTTCATACACTAGTGATGAAATTAAAAGTTGGATTAAAATCTATAATTAAGAGCATATATGTATAATATACAATACTATTATAAAGTATGACATAAAATTAAGTAATCAATTATGATAATATGTTATATATATATATATATATATTAAAGTGTAGATACTATAATATGTATTTTATAGTTTGATGAGGAATAAAATTATAAATATTTAATAGATTGACTTAATGTTCATTATATATAGAGAAGTAGTGGTCCCAAAAATAGGTTAATTTATATTACTTTTATCCCGTCAGAGAGATTCAAAGATTACAATCAATCGATTAATTCAGATACACTTTTACATTTAGTATTTTATTTTTGATGATTTGTGATGATTAGATCGTTGTTAGATTTTTATAGTTATTATGATTTGGTTCTAATTATATTAAATAATTTGATAGTGTTGTTTAACCTTAAATCGTGTTTAAAAGTAAATCTTCCCAAGCTCTCCTTTAACATACTAAATGATTTTTCATGTTAAATCTTAATATTTTTTATTTTACAATTGTTTTTACTTATCGTTATTACATGATTTTATTAGAAAGATTGAATGGATTAAACACGACACTAAAAGGTTATTGTTTAAATTTTAGGGTCTATGAATCAGAGATAAGAGGTTTTAAACTTAAGGTTTAAGATATAAAATAATATTTAAGTATTAATTGTGAAATTAAAATATTATTGTGCTGATAATATATTAAATTTAAAAATAAAGATTTATATTCTGATTTATTTAATATAAATATGGATATTAATAACACAAAAGAGTTTTGGTCTTGAAGATTGAAATAGGGTTTCATAATTGATGAAAGTGAAATATGAAAATAAAGTGGGATCCAGTGAACAGGCATGAGAGTCAGGGAAACATATATATATTCGGTATTAATTACTTTTGGGGTCCTTCGAATCCTATGCAGTAGCTGATGCTGTAATTAACGGCCATGGTGATAGCAGGACACGTGAAAACATGCAGACATTGGGACCAAATTATTTAAGGAGGAAAGAGGATACTACAACCCCACCAATTTACACTCCCATCTTGTAAATATAACTCTAATCTATCAACCTAAATATTTGAATTTGAAGGGAATATTTTTTTATATACGTTAATATTTTTTTCTTTTTGGTTACAAGAGGGAAAACTAAAGATTAATGCAACGTAAAGCCTCTAGGAAAATAGACGTGTAACACACTAGTCCACTTCGACCCAAAGATACACTGGACTATCGAAATAGTGACTCAAAAATTTCTTTAAAATTACTTTATAAATTGTTGAAAATAAATCATCCATAGAAATAAAATAAAACATGATAATAAATCTGAGGTTACAAAATAATAGGGAGCTCCCAAAATATATCCAAAATAATATAGTACCACATACAAAAAAAAAATACAATTGAATACACGTCAGGGTCCATAAATAGTAAATGCCCTCTAAAGATGACTCAAGACGTACTCTGACGATCTTTGTTGGTCTGGTTTGCTGCACTGCAATATCTGGTGGCGATAACTCCCCACAATTTGCCCCTAAGAACCTACACACGAAAACACATTCGAACGCTGAGCTTACAAGCTTAGTGCCTCACTAATTACTGTACTATACTACATGCACTCACTAAAAGAAATTGGCTAGTGGCATAGGTCTAAAACATGCATATACTAATATGTAGCTCGCATCATGGTACGACTGAGGGATTCTGCATCTCGGAGCTCGTGCACCCTTTTAGCCTGTCGGTATACCCTTGAGTACACCAGGGGTGAGATCCGAAATTCTGCATCGGAGACGTATACCTGCCAACTTAATTCATCGAGTCTTGGGGGATCTGCATCTAGTCGACTGCTTAAGTGTCATGGTACTGACTTGGATATCCACTGACTATCGTATTCTGCTAAAGATGAACTCGGGTGCCATGACTGTTTCCCAAGTGTCAAACAATACTAGCTTTATATAAACCTAGTTGTTACACTTTCTATTGTTATGATATTAATTACTGTAATTGATTGAAGTCTTATTTGTTGTTATATTAAAGTGTTTGGGGTGCCTTGGGTTAAATCCCTTAAATTTGGGGTTAATTACCCAAAATTGACTATTGGTATCGATTCTGACCCTTTAGTATTGATACCCCTGACCTGATCGGTAACACCACCGACCCATATCTGACCCGAATACGAATCTGAGGTGTCACATTGACTTTTCAAACTCTTTAACTCTTTTAAAAGACAATTAAAACTTAACAAGGAAAAAAACTTTCCAAAACATGTTTACAAACATATCAGAGCATCTATGACTTACACATTTTAGTACATGCCAACAATCATATCACATACTATTTAATTCACTCTGATATGATATCTTTCAGAGCTATGTTATCCTGCTCTTGGTTACTATGATGATGTCTTTGAATCTATGTGTGAAAACAATCACACACTAAGTCTATGACTTAGTGAGGCAATATTGAGAATAGTAAAATAATAAAACAATTATATAAAGGTTTGCAAAAGAATCATTAAATATTATAACATCATATTCTTCATAACTTATAACATACTTTTACTCATTGATCAATTTATATGAATTTGACTCTTGCTTATACATTTTTGAAACATTTCGTATAAAACCAATAGACACTACATTACCATTTTAATACTATTAATCATTGTTCAAATTATATCAAGTTTGATTTATTAGCCCAACGTATATTGCTGAGAACTCAAGGTATGCGAGTATATTGAGGTTGTGCACTAATGTAGTCACCACTGCTCATATAATTTGAGCCGAAGTGCCTCGTAGAATTTAAACCGAAGTGCCACATAGATTTGTCCCAAAGGACTGCATATAATTTGTCCCGAAGGACAACGTAGGATTGTCTCGAAAGACCACATAAATTTGTCCCGAAGGACCGCGTAGAACCCTCGACTATTGGCATGCCAACTATACCCCTAATTCTCATAAAATATACTTTGGGTTTTATTTTTATAATTAATTTTCAATACTTTATTCCAGTGTCTTTTATCCACATAGAATACTTTTACATTTATAATTCACATTTCTTTTATTCACATAAAGGATTTACTCATAACATTCATTTTAACATTTTTCACTTATTCTTTTTGTTTCATAGAACATATCCATTTAGCACATATTCACATAATATTTCACGTAGATCATTGTCACATAGTATTATCAAATTTTATTATTTATTCACATTCAGACAATTACTCATAATATTTCATTTCACATAACATTATTCAATATTTTCATTTAATTACATATAACATACATCCATAGTGAATCACATAATTATTTCATATTACATATCATTATTCAACTTATCCATGTACTTATATAGAACATACTCACATATAAAACCTTCACATATACTCATAGCATTTCATTTTGTTCAAAAATATTTGAGGTTGGCTCATCGTAAGTCATCCTCCAATCATAAATAAAATAAGTAAATATCACTCACCTTTGCCTCACTTAAGCATGAAACAACTCCTTCCCTCTTTCACTTTATCTTGGTACGTCCCATTCATTCCGCATTTGCTTTCAATCAAATCTACATATATCATGACCCATATGAATATCGAAACTCAATTAACATCTAACCCATTAAATTTTATTTAAGCGAAATGAAACATTTAATTAACATTTCTGACTGAATAGTATCGGTACTCTACCCACAGTACCGATACTTCTCTTCTATGGTACCGATACCCTCTTCAGTACCGATACCATTTTAGCATTCTAGAATTCCTTTTTTAATTACAATATCGATACCTTCCTCTTGGTATCGATACCTCCACATCAGTATCGATACTACTTCAATCAGTATCAATATTTTTCATTGTATTCATAATCTATCCTTTAATTTTAACCTTATAGTATCGGTACTGTTCTTCCAGTACCGATACCCTTACCCAAATTTCACTTATTTCACTTCGAATTTTTACCCAAACTTCACTTAAATCTCTTAACCTTAACTCTATTCCTTATTTCAAACTCATTTACACTTATTCCCACTAACTTATATCCAGTAAAACTCCTTTATCATCTAAATTCTTCCATAGAACTCTTGAAACTATAAAAATCATATCAATTTTCCAAATGCATTTTCAATCATTTCTAACACTTTAAACACCTTAATTAGACATTTGACAAGTCAAATATATCATTAGAAATCCAAATACTAATCAATCTCATAAAAGCCCTTAAAACCCATTTTACTAATTCATCAATAATTCCTTAATTACTTAGTTTCATCATCATCTATAAGCTCCCTTAATCTTCTATATCAACCATGAACCAAAACCCACTCAAAATGAAAGGAATACCAACTCTCAAGAAACTCACCTTGGTAATGAAGTTTACGGGGAGAAGAAGAAGAGAAGTAACCAAAGTTCCATACTTTTCCTTATTTCCCCTTATCCAACAAATGTTTAAATATCTTTAAAGAAATGAATATAAAATTCATTCCATGCTAAAAGTCCATAATGCCCTTCTATTCTTCAAGATTTGGTAATAAGTCTTAAGTAAAATTCCCAAAATCAATATTTGAACATTTCAATTTATTCTAATTCAACCACTAAATTTTAAATTCTTATATTTTAGTTACTGACCCAATATTTAGGGTATTGCATAGTCTTGATACCCTATGTGAGTATCGATACCAAAAAGATCACTGGAAAAATTGGTCTTGATGCAAATCTTGTGAGTCTCGAGACCGTGACCTCTGTATCGATACTCTTGAATGAGTATCGATACTGCTCCCCATAATTCATGAAATTCTGCCCAGACTGAAGAACAATCTCGATACTAACCTTCTAATATCAAGACCTAAATTGTATAATATTCTGTTTTAACACGAAAAATCCTATCTTTCTATCCCAAAAGTCTTAGCGAGGTCCCCAATTGATGTTAAAGTGTTATGAAGGATAGTGGGGGTCACAAAGAAGTCTTTTAACATGATGAAACACCCAAACAATGCAATCTACCATGAACATGCTTCAAGCTTATATAACCTACCAAATCTCATCTAAATGAACTACATATGGTATAGTTGAGTTAGAAGTGAGTTACCTGATGATTCTAAGCTACTAAGAGTGTCCAAAGATTAACCAAGAGAAAGCTTTTCTTTCCCCTTAGCTTTGGAGCTTTCTCCAACCTCTCTCACTAGACAATAACGATTACTAGCTGAGTTTAATTCTTTAGAAGATCTTAAGGACTCCTCTTAATCCTAGAAATTACCAAAAACGGGCTGAAATCTTTAAATCCCTTAAACTCTATAAAACCCATTCTTGAAAAACCATGGCCAAACTTTGCAAAGGTGGGTTTGAAATGAAGCTTAGGATGAGTATAGTTTGATTCTTACCTTGGTTTGATGACATAAATTGAAATTAGATTGAAACTTCCACCTTTATTCAAAAGAAAGATGATGATGATGAAGAAAACTTGAGAGAATAAGATAAAGAAAATGAAGAAAAAGAGAAAGCTTGAGTTCAGACGTGATATTACCCATTTTAATTGGTTTTCATCTTTATTTTTGAAAAATGGTATAATTACTCCCTTGGTTATTCTAATTTTGATTTCAAATGAAAAATACCCTTTTTAATCTCTAATGGGTTTAATCCAAGCCCAATCTGACTTGTTTTTGGGTCTAGGATTCCTATGAACTAAATAAATAATCCAAGGTCCATCTCGGGTTAGCCTAAAACCCTAACATAAGATCCAAGGAATTACAACTCTCCAATCCTAAATGAAAACTTTTTATTTAAAATTTACCTGGATAGAAGAGTTGAGGATACTAAAGCTGCATGCCATCTTTAGTTTCCCAAGTTGCTTTTTTAACGTCATGGTTCCTCCACAACACCTTTACTAAATGAATCCTCTTATTCCTTAACTCATTCACAACATTTTCCAAGATTCAGACTTGTTCTTCAATATAAGTCATATCTTGGTTGTCCTCAATCTGTTATAAGGGTATGACGTACGAAGGATCGAAATGGTATCTCCTGAGCATGGATACTTAGAACACATTGTGAATAGGCTCATACTCTAGGTATAAGGCTAATAAGTAAACCACTATACCTACCCTATCCAATACTTTATAAGGTTATGTAAAGCAAGGACTCAACTTCCCTTTGTGCCCAAAGAAGAACACTTTCTTTCATGGGGAAACCTTGAGGAACACTTTGTCCCTAACTAAGAACTCAATGGCCTTACACTTCAAATCTGCAAAAGACCTATGCATGTTAGAAACTTCCTTTAACTAGTTTTGAATCATCTGAACCTTCTCATGTCTCTCTGATCAAGTCTGGGCCTACTATTTTACCCTTAATGAATTCTGTCCAACAAAGAGGAGTCTTTCATTTGCGCCCATACAAGGCCTCATACGGAGCCATGTGAATGCTCAACTGAAAATTGTTGTTGCGGGTAAATTCCAAGAATGACAAGTTGTACTCCCAATTACCCTCTAGATTAATGATACTTGAGCATGTCCTCAAAAATCTGGATAACTCGCTTTGACTGGCTATTTGTTTGAGGATGAAAAACTGTACTGAAGTGTAGCTTGGTGCCTAGGAACTCATAAAGAGTTTTCTAAAAAATGGGAAGTAAATTGAGGGTCTTTATCTAAAATAATAGAAGTTGGTATACATGCAACCTCACTATCTTACGGATGTATAACTGAGCTAACCTCTCTAAGGTATAATCCATCCTAACTGAGAAGAAGTGGGTTGATTTGGTTAGGCGGTCCACTATGACCAAACTGCGTCATGCCTCTGTTTGTCATTGGTAACCCGATCACAAAGTCTATGGTTACACTGTCCCTTTTCCACTGAGGAATCTGAAAGGGCTAAAACAAAGCTGAGGGAACCTAGTGTTCTGTATTAGCATGCTGACACACTAAACATCTAGCGACAAAATTTGACACTTCTCTTTTCATACTCAGCCACTAGAACAACTGAAAAGCTCCTGGTATATATTGTTACTGATTAGGTATATTGGGATGTGACACTTCTCACCAAAGAGGTAGTGTCACCAAATCTTTAAAACGAACACTACTAATGTTAGCTCAAGGTCATGGTAGGATAATTACACTCTAGAGACTTAAACTGTTGGGATATGTATGCCACAACTTCATCTTATCGCATCAATACGCATCTAAGACCATTTAACGAAGCATCACTGAAAATTGTGGTCCTTACCCAACTCTAATTAGGTCAACACTAGAGCTTGGGACACAATGACCTTTAACTGTTCGAATCTGTTCTGTCATTTCTTATTCCATTCAAAGATAACTCCTTTCTGAAGAAGTTTGGTTAATAGAGCAGCTATCATTGAGAAACCTGAACGAATCGACGATAGTACCCAATTAAGCCAAGGAAATTACGTACTCGTGATATATTCTTAGGTGGCTCCCACTCAACTATGGCCTAAATTTTTAGGGGTTGACTCTGATGCTATCTACTACATGTCATGGCCCAATAATGACACTTTTGAAAGCCAAAATTCACACTTCTCAAACTTGGCATACAATTGCTTGTATCTGAGTGTCTTGAGAGTGATATAGAGATACTGATCATGATTGTCCTCTGATCGAGAGTATGCTAGAATGTCATCTATAAAAACTACCACAGATTGATCTTAGTATGGGTGGAAGGCTCAATTCATTAGGTCTATGAATGTCGCTGGAGCGTTGGTGAGTCCAAACGGCATCACCGAGAACTCACATTTACCGTACCTTATCCTGAAAGTTGTCTTTGCTACATCTACATTTTTTACTTTCAGCTGATAGTAGTCTGACTACAGATCAGTCTTCGAGAAGACGTATATTCCTATAAGCTGGTTGAAGAGGTCGTCTATACTGGGGAGTGGATAAGACGATTAACTTGTTTAACTGTAAGTAATTGATACACAGCCTCATCGACCCATCATTCTTCTTGACAAATAAGAACAATGCTCCCCACAGAAATATGTTCGGTCAAATGAAACCCTTCTTTAGCAACTCCTGAATCTGAGCCTTTAACTCCTTTAGTTCTATTGGTGCTATTCGATAGGGAGCAATGGACACCAGAGCTAAAGTTGACATTACCTCAATGCCAAACTCCAATTCACGCTTGAGTGGTAAACCCAACAATTCCTCTGGGAACACATCGGGAAAATATCACACTGTTAAGATATTCTCAAGTGTTGGAACTAAAATTTGTGTGTCGACCACTTGAGCCAAGAAGGCCTCGTACCCTCGGTCGATTATCCTTTGGGCTTCAAAGCTGATACTATCCTCGACTGGTGGGATTTCTATATGGTCATTGTTAATTTGGTTTCATCGATCATTCTAAGCTTAAGATGTCTAGCTTTACACCCCAAGCTAGCGTCATGCTCTGTTAACTAATCCACCCCTAAAAGACAGTAAATCCTCTAAATATTTTGCTGGTAATTATATCTCTTAAACTATGTCAGAGCGGATATATGAGTGAGTAGAATCGGGGTCTATTAATACAGTAACTGGAATGGAAAAGACAGTAACTGTACTTGATATCACATATTGTCTGGAGGTCACTCTCGGCTCCATACTGGTCACTGATTTTGCTATCCCTCGGTTCTTCTATCTCGATACAATATGACCACCCTAGCTAGTCCATGACCCCTCTATACTGATGGTATTGATCGTTAAGTCATTATCGATGTTGCATCATGAGCTCCTGGCCAGTCTCTGATAAAGTGTCCATAAAGTCATAACTGTAGCAACCCTTGAATCCTAGCTGACACATCCCTAAGTGTCTCTTTTTATACTGGGTAAATATAGGATATGTGAACCCTTTGGTCGGTTCACTAGCACTAATCTCGGATGCTAAATTCAATTATCTTCTTTGAATCGAATCTACCTCATCGGTCTGAACTCTGCCCAGTCCTCCTCGACTATGCTGCTGGTTCTCGATGAATCCTGATTGTTTTTGGTCCTCTTAGTTAGAGTGTGAGATGGCCTCGCTGGTTTGATGCTTTCTCTTTGATTCTCTCTTGATTCTAATTGCTTGATGTTTCTTGTTGTTGATCAATGGCTTCTAAGCTTGCTTAAATACTCCTTGAATCAATTCTGAACGTTGGTGATAATTAGTGGAGTCAATAGAGCCGTTATTGTGTGAAAACAATTAATTTTCTGGGTGGGAGCGTCTCATGCATCGATGCATGACCATTATGCATCGGTGCATCAGTGTAAAATTTCAAATATTTTGACCGTTGGACTCCTAGTGCATCGGTGCACTAAGAGTGCATCGATGCATGAATTGCATTCGATGTTTGAAAAATAGCCTGGTGCATCGATGCATGGATTGTGCATCGATGCATCAAATGCATTCGATGTTTTAATTAAATCAGAGTGCATCGATGTATGGAGAGTGCATCGGTGCATGGAATGCATTCGATGTTTCAACTTATTCATTGATGCATCGATGCATGGTATTGATGCATCGGTGCATGCCTTTGAAAAATTGATTTAAGGCTTGATTTTGGTTCAAAATACTGTGAAAATTGTTTCAAAAATAGTTTAAGTACAAATCAAAATTTTACACATTTAGTAAGGATTAAAATTGATCTTCAAAGACTTGGAGTAATAATTTGATATTCGATAAATTGAATTGAATATAAATTGTAGAATCATTTGTAAAAATCTTAAAATTCATTTATCTTAATTTGTTATATCGAAATATCAAAAATGTTTTTAACAATCTCCCCCTTTTTGATATAACAAAACACTTGGGAAATTTTAAGATTTAGAAAATTATTTTTGAAATCAGCTTTTGAAAAATTACTCCCCCTTACTATGATACACATCTTCTCCCCCCTTTTTGTTAAATAAAAAAGACTCTATAAAACGTTTTAAACAAGAATGTTTTGAGAAACTTGAGCCAATTGATTTATTAATTATAAGCTGCTAAGATCACGATCAAAAGAGAGGTTAGCCATTAGTTTCATAAATCAGTATTCATATAACATGCAATGGATAATTGGTCATATATGTCTAATGATGCAAAAATAAGAAAATTTAACCAAACCAAATATATATATTAAGTTCAAGCATCCATAAATATAAAATAAGTCCAGTCAAAGTATCAAAAACAAAGAAACCATAAATATCAAAATCAATCCAAGTTTTAATTTTAAGAAAGCATGACAAAAAATACAAATCTACTCCATCGGAGGATCGGGAGAAGGATAATGAGCTCGAACTTCAAGAGTCAGATCATCCATATGATCACGCATCCTCCTCTGAAACTCAGTAATCTGAGACTCCATGGAAGTAAATCGTAGATCAAATGCCTCTAAAAAAGATCAGAAATAAGGTGGTGTTTGATCTTCTTGCCGAGCGGGTTCCGGTGCATTAGCTTGATCGTCAATATCTTGAAATATCCCTTAAAGCTCGGGATCAACATTCGCAGCCGGAGAAGAAGGAGGAGCACGAGAAGAACTAGCTCCCGAAGTTTGTTTATTTGGTCGAAAGACCCAAAAACCGATGCGTTCATCTTGAACCCAATCCGCTTTCTTTAAAGAAGTGAGATTGATTTGATTTTGGAGAGGAATGGCAGTGTCGAGAGAAACGTCAAGACCAAATTTGATAAACATGTTACTAAGTAGACATCCGTAGGCTAATGTTTCAATATGTTTAGAAGGAACAATGTTTACGATGTCTACTAGTTGACTAAAAATGACATGTGGAAGATTTATTTTGATTTTATTTTTAATACAATATATCCACCATAAATCCCTAGCACGTAGAGTGGAGTACCTACCAGAAGAAGGACGAAACCACCAAGAAATAATAAAATGAAGGAAACAGTCGTGATGGGTTTGAAGGGTACTGACACTAGCATTAGGAGTATAGGGATAAGCCACAGATTCTTTTTCGTCAAACACACCATCATCATCTAACCCAAAATGAGAAGCAATAGTTGCGGAATCAACAACAATGTACTGTCCTAGAAGATAGGATCTAATTCCGATGGTTCCACATTGGGTTTGATTTTTGAATACAGACCGCATTGGAATAGAAAATGCGGACTAATTGGTGGAAAACGATAGGTTGAAGCAAAAAAAGTTTATCAAACTTCCATTGTTTAAGAATTGGGAGGTATTCGAAATTGATGTCAACCATAGCTTGAAGAGAAGGAATACGCTCTTCACGAATTCTATAAGTTTGGAAATAATTTCTGTACCTAGAGTACAGTTCGTCTCTACGACGCTCAGGCATGTTAAAACAAGAACCTAATAGACTAGTAGGTGGTGGAGGAACGGGATTTGGAGGTTGGTTTGAACGAGAACGACTAGACGAAGTTCTAGGACGTTTTGGATTAGACATGATTAAAGGAAACGAAATAAGGAATATTACCTGCAATTTGAAAACATATGTATGCACAATCAATCCCAAAACTCAATTGAGTCCTCAATATTTCAAGGTTCTCTAAATCAATCCTAATGGGCATGTTTTGAAAAATATTAAAAAATTGATAATCATAATAATATAGTTTTCATGAAAACAAAAAACAATTAAATCAAAAATCTTATTATTTTTTTTAATTTTCGAAATCCAATAATTTTTTTTTTGAAAAATTGTTTGTTTTGGAAGAAATTGGCAGTAAAATCTTTTTAGAACCAACAATCAATCAATGCCCGATATAATGTACATCCTAGAACTAATTAAAACTAGTTCTAAAATCATAAATTTGTAAAATAGAGGTTTTTAGAAAAATACCTTGGAAATTCGGATTGAGAGAGATGAGGAGTTTATTTTGCACGATTTAATGATTGAAGCAGGTTTGGGAGTTGAAAAGCTTGAAAATTCCGTCGAAAAATCGTTGATTTTGAGCAATAATGGAGATTTTAGAGAGAGAGAGAGACGAACGGCTTTGAGAGAGGGGTTTTTAGGTTTTGAGAAAATGAAGAAAATGAGGCATTTTAACCCAAAACCCGACCGATGCATCGATGCATGATCTTGTGCATCGATGCACATTCAAGGCATGCATCGGTGCATCATGCGGATGCATCGATGCACATTCAAAGGGATGCATCGATGCATTGTTAAGTGCATCGGTGCATTAAGCACAAAAATGTCAAAAATCCATTTTAAACACTTAAAATGCTAAATTATTTAGCTCTAGTAGTTTTGGCAACTCATATATTGAAAATTAACCATGTTCAATCAATCAAGTTAATGTCTTAAAAATATTTGAACATAAAATTAATTTTCACCAAATAACATAAACTCCCCCTAACTAATAGCAATGAATGCAATCAAAAATTACTATTATAAGCATTATTTATTCTTAAAAGTGCTAAAAATTATTTTAAACACTAAGTGAAGATAGGTTGGCTAAACCTAATTCTCTCATAAGTGTCCAAAATCTTTCTTTGTCTAAAGGTTTTGTAAAGATATCCGCTAATTGGTGCAAAGTATCAACAAATTCTAGAACTACATCTTCCTTAGTGACATGGTCTCTAATGAAGTGATGTCTTATTTCAATGTGCTTAGTTCTAGAGTGTTGGATGGGATTTTTAGTGAGACAAATAGCACTAGTATTGTCACACTTGATAGGAATGGTACCAACTTCAATTCCATAATCAAAAAGTTGTTGTTTCATCCATAAAACTTGTGCACAACAACTACCAGCTGAAATGTATTTGGCTTCAGTAGTAGATAATGCAACACAATTTTGTTTCTTTGAAAACCAATAAATCAGCATATTTCCAAGGAATTGGCAAGTACCGAAGGTGCTTTTCCTATCTAATTTGCATCCTCCATAATCCACATCAGAAAAAGCATGCAAGCTAAAGCTAGAGTCTCTAGGATACCAAAGTCCTAAACTAGGAGTGTCTTTAAGGTATCTAAAGATTCTCTTAACAGCTAGTAAATGTGATTCCTTAGGGCATGATTGAAATCTAGCACATAAGCAAACACTAAACATAATGTCCGGTCTACTTGCAGTTAGATAAAGTAGAGATCCAATCATTGACCTATATAATTTAACATCTACACATTTACCTCCTTCATCTAAGTCAAGCTTTGTTGAAGAGCTCATTGGAGTGTCATGAGGTTTCCCATTTTCCAGTCCAAACTTCTTGAGCATATCTTTGACGTACTTAGCTTGATT